CATCCATCAAGTCACACTGTAATTCTGTAACTTCATAAAATATATATTGCCAAAGAACGTGACAAAAACTGTAAGGCAAGATGCACTTGGGTCTATGACATGGGCTGTTTAGAACTCTGAGTGGACAGGGTTGGCTACGGGGAAGACGGAAGCTGCCAACTGTCACAGCCAGAAACAGAGAGCTAGCTCCAACATGCAGGAGGTGGAGGCTCTCCCTGACTATGAAGATTAAGACCTAAATAATACCCTGCCAGGCTCCGGAGAAATCAGCCAGTGGAACCAGAGAGAGGAAGTTCTTTTGCGTCTCCCTACCTTTTTATTCCAGATTTGTAGGCATGTCTGTCTGGGATAATTGACCTCTTTCAGTCAGCACACCTTTCAGATGTCTTAACCATAGCTTTCTGCACAATTGATCTGAATCAGCACCCCAGTCAATGCAATCTTTCATTTAAAGCAGTTGAAAACAATGAATTACACTCTGTCTTTTACAAGTTATTTAGGAGAGCAGACCTATGGAAAAGCTCTTAGTTTCTCAGTAGCAGATTCCTTGAAATGAATGTACTCTGAGGCAGGATGGGATGGGGCAGGATGCAATTCTTCTGAGCTTCCCGGTAGTGCAGGAAGAAGTAGGAAGACAGAGAGCAGCATGACCCCAGACGGTTCTCAAGGTCTCAGGATTGTCAAGGTTGTCAAGGCTCTGCTTAGACAAGCATTTGCATGGTTGTATTGCTAAAGCAAACATGAACCCTGTTAGCCGGTGTGTCAAGGGGAGTGTGCTTTGGAGTTTGAACCATTTTCTGCCCTCTCAAGGTGAGCAGGCCTCACATGCAATGCATCCACATATACTCAAGAACCATAACAAAGACAGGCCTGTGGGAGGGGCTATAGTGTAGCTTTGTTCTGCTTTGTTAAGTCAGTGGTAGCCATCAACATTTTGTCCAATCACTTCCTCTGTTTTTGTTATCTTCTTTCTGCCTTCCTAGGATCCTGCCCCTAACCATCCTTCATAATACTTCTGTAATTTCCCAGCTTTCCCTATGTGCCCTTTCTAAAAAGGAAAAGGAAAAGGAAAACAAGAAAAATGTAAAAGAACTTTTCAGCCTAAGGTAAGATTTGTTTTTCCTCTTTCCTCCCAAACTTCAAACTTCTGTATCAATTCATTACGGGGAGCTCATGTCAAAAAAAAAAAAAAAAAAAAAAAAAAAAAAGGAAGGAACCTTTGACAGGATTTGACAGCTTGTCTCCTGGTACTTAGAAAGAGTTCTTCCCTCCCTCAACTCTGGAGTGGCCCTGGTAAGGCAGGGATGGCCTGGATGGGAGCTCTCCCGGTTTATACTTGACTGCCAGAAGGAGAAAAGGCAATGCAAAGTTTTTCCCGACCTACTCTAGAAAGAAGAGAGTTAATGCGGGGACTCTGCCAAGTTACCCTCCCCTTCTGATGGCATGTTCCCGGGCTCTGCTTCTTTGAGCATCCTCCCATCTTCCCTGCCCACCTTCCTCCATACTCCCAACCCTGTACAGGCACCTCTGACTTCACCAACTGTGTCTACAGCATCTTAATACTTTCCTGTCCCATCTGTTAATTAGCCATTTAAAGGAGAAGCCATACAGGAAGCCATCCTTAGGGCAATTCTCATCTCCGAGACATTAATGAATCAACTCATGGTGAGGAAGAGGAATAGGTTTGGATGTGAGACAGCTAAGGGCAGAATAGAATGTCAAAAGGGGCTGGCCTCTGAGGCTCGATGCTGGGCAGAGCCCATACTCCTGGAGGACACGGTCTATCCTTCTCTTGGCAAACAGCCCCAGGTAACGACTACAGAGACACTCAGGAACCATGGCGATCAGTTCCAGCCTTAACCTGGCAAGTACTAAAACAGGGGTGAGAAGAGGATATAGCTTCTAATAGAACTAGGGTTCCAGCCAGGAAAGGCGGTGCACCCTCAACCAGAGCTACCATCGCTTTCTCCTCCCCAGAGCCCAGCTAGCTGGCTATGGTTACATTCACATCATTCCTACAGGAATGTCTGTCAGGATCCCCAGAGAGATGGCTAGCGCTCCTCCAGACACTGACTTCTCACTCAAAATCATGCTAGGGAGGGCTAATCACATCTAGAAAAATCAAATACGGCTCTTCCCTTCGAGGGAGGAAGAGACACAAAAACGTCTGGCCATAAGGAATGCACATGTGTATGGCAGGCAGAGGGCTGCCCAGCCTGTGAGCACCAAGGCAGAGCAGATGGCCAAGCCCATCTTCCATCTCTTCTCAAACTCCCACAATATTCCTTTGCAATGAGGCTTGCCTCACTGAAATGCCCTCAGACTCAGGACAACTTGCCCCAAGGAAAGAAGGGACCAGGTCTACCTGTCTTCAGGGAGGCTCGTGCATTGCAACAGCTCTGTTCTCCCTTTCAGGAAGGACACATTTCGCCTGCACTAATACAAAAAGCACTGAACTGAAGTACATCCTGTTTCCCTACTTGACCTCTGACCACAACATTCTCTGTTTCTCCCCACTTTCCCTAGGAGAAACTCACTACTGGGTGAATGCAAATCTCCCCCATCACTGCCCCCTTTCCCTTGCCTCTCTAACGACATGGATGACACAACTCCCCGCCCAGGTGTGGAAAGCAATGACCTCTGAGGTATGAGCAGAGGACGATGAGCCCACTCCAACTCTCACCCAAAGGTGCATGTGAGACTGATGTGGGCACTCATTGTGGCACACTTGGAAGAAAGAGGTCCAGGTGATATGCCATCTTGCCAGTTACCCAGAACTGAAACAAAGTTCCCGGACCTGCTCAAGGTCACCCGTGAGTGTCCTTAGTGATCACTGACCCTCTATCCCCTACCCCCAACCTGCTGCACATGCAATGAATGATAGGCACTGTCCCCTTTAAACCCAGCACCAGAATGATGGTTTCCAAGCACTGATCAGCAAAGGCTGCAGCTGCGGGAGTGGTGCTGTGAACTGCATGAAATCAGGAGGTGAATTTGAGGGAGAAACACATATATTTGCATAATGGTCTAAGGCCTGAAGTTCAGCTCTTTCCCTGTGGTGGTTCACTCTTGCCTTCTCTCACCCTAGAAACTGTCCCGATAGTGCCACTACATTTACCGCCCCCCATGTGGGATGGAGGGAGCCTGTGGGGAAGAAGAGAGGAACGTCAGGAACAGTGGCTTCTCCAGAGCCACATGAATGCCTGTCTTCACTGGGACTCACTCTCAGACTCTGAGGCGTCATCAACACAGCTGAAATGATGAACAAACTGCACAGGGCAGTGGGGGTAGGGCAGGGAGAAAGCCCAGGAGAGGCTGTGAGACTCAGCTAGAAAGTGGTAAGAGCCCAGGGTGGGTCTCATGATGCAAGAAGAGGGAAGAGGAGAGGAGCCTCTGAGTCCTGGGTCAATAGCATCTCTGCCTCAAAAATGCACCTGCTCCTCGGCAATCCCTTCTTTATTTTTCCAAGCTGAGCCAAGGGAGGATTCACTGCCAGACCAAACAAATTCCTAGGAAGTGCTACCTTGCTCTTATCTTATTCACATCAGCCATCTTCTACAGAGCAGGGCATGGAGACCATAGGCCATTGTGCACAATTCTAGTTCAAATCCAAAGCGATGCTGAGTAAGCCCATGCTGGAGTAGCTAAAGGACGGTGGTGGTAGCATGATCTGGTAATGAAGGGTTAAGAAGGGGTGCTCCCTCTAGAGTCAGCCCAAGTCTGGTACTTGAGCGTGAAATGCCTGCCTTTACTGGGTTTGGGTCACGAAAACCTGACAGGGAGTATCATCTTTTCTCCACACCCACATCATCGGGGGAGGGGGAGAGGCGGCCCTTTCAACATGCCCAGAAATTTCTGCCTGCCCTCCTCTTTTCAGCAAGGCAGGGGTGGTTAATGTTCAGAACAGCAAAGGGAGGAGGTTTTCAAGCCACGAGGATAAGAAAGGTGGGCATATGAGCTAAATGGTGGATGGGTGAGGTGAGGCTTGGTGGGTCAATTCACAGGTAGTGGACTGGGAGCTGGGCCTGGGAACTAGGGCAGTGCCCACTCTGTGTGCCAGAAATGGAAGTATTTCCTGGGGCAGGGCTTTCACTGGAGCCACATTCAACCATTCATCTTCCTGGGGACACTGAAAGCACAGCTGACTTGGCATCCTCTGCCTGTGCAACTCCTAAAGGAGAGGCTGTGCTCACGTTGTCCCTTTACCTCTGACTTTCCAATCATTTCCCTGGGAGCCAGAGACAGAGATGGGAGGCAATCAGGGTGGAACTTGGGACTATCATGTTCTAAGCTCCTGCTGTACATTCTGGAAGGGAACAGTTCTTTACCATGTGTGCAGGAAAGGGATGCCCAGCTGGGCGAAACACCATCAGAAGCGTTAACTCCGAGAAGTCTGCCTGGGGAGAAGTCCTCCAGTCTCAGCAGGAAAGATAAGCATTTCACTGGAAGACTTACCCTCTGTGCTTGGTCAACTTGAAACGGGGACCCTTCTCCCAGGCAGAGGCAGCCAACCTTTCCACACCATCCAGCTCTTAACACCTGGGAAAACCCCAGTTCACACGAATCCATTTGCTATTCTTTCAGCGAGGTGCCCGCAGTGCTCAGTTCTTTATATTAAGGTGGTACTCCAGTTTAAAAATAAATAAACAAATAAACCCACCCAAAAAAACAAAAACTAAACGTGATACATCCCATCAAAAATAAAGCCTGGGGATAGGAAAATTGGTGCTAGTCTTATCCTTGAACCTCGTGAATTCCACTGATTGGTACTTTGTGTTGCAAATCCCCTCTAACGCCAAAAGCACGCCTAAGCTGCTTCCTTCCTACGGAATGCGGGAGCAGCCACAGATTTACTGCTGGTAAAGGAAGCAGCGACGGTGGAAGTGACTCGGGAGGAGGAGGAGAGAAGAGCTGTGCATGGAGAGGACAGGACCAGGGAGCTATGTTATGAGGGGGCGAGGCCTGGGGACCCGAGGCAGGCACCCAGCAGCGCCTCTCACCTGTGGATGTTCATCTCTCGCGGGGGGCGGTGGGCCTTGTCATAGGAGACCTTGGCGAAGACGCCCGCCACGATGACGAAGGCGATCACCCCGCACGTGATGTAGACGGTGAAGTTGGTCTTGTCCTTCTCCGGGTCGTACTTGTTCTCGGGCCCCGGCGACACCACCTTGGTGCTGGGCGTCTGCACCCACACTGGGCTTTGGTAGTTGGTGCACTGGCGCTGGTCCAGCTTCTCGTGGCGCTTCTTGCAGCAGAAACGGTAGTAGCAGGTGCCGCAGCAGTACAGGTAGCCGCTCTCGCTGTTGTTGCACTCGAACTCCTTGTCGTACTGGCCGCTCACGTCGTAGTAGCCCCAGCACGTCTCGTAAGTGACGGCCGCGCTGGCCGCCGCCGCCGCCGCCGCCGCGGACTGTGCCCGCCGGCTGCCCGCCTCCGGGCCGCCGGACGCCCGGGCGGTGCTGTTCAGCTCGCGGCCGCCTCGGGCCAGGGCGCCCCCGGCACGCCGACCCCCGACGGCTCCGGCGCTCAGGGTCCGGTTGGCCGCGCGGCCGCGAGCGGCGTCCGCGCCGGGCGGCAGGTGCAGGGACGCGAGCGACAGCAGCAGCGACAGCAGCAGAGGCGGCAGCAGGAGGCGGCGCAGCGCC